TACCCATACCCGGTCGGGTATTACTCAGGTTTTTAAACAACAATCCCCTGGAATCCCTGCTCGGTCGAGTACACACCTCGAACCCGAACCGAACATCTATACCCGGTCGGGTATATGCCTATACCCGGTCGGGTATTACTCAAAATTTTAAACAAGAGTTTCCTGCCCACAACGTTCGATCGAGTACACGCCTTAAAAACAAAATTCCACCAATACTCGATCGAGTATATAACCATACTCGGTCGAGTATGGCTGGATTTGCCAAACTCAAAGGGTCCTGCTAAACGTGCTCGAACGAGTACACACTTCGAGACCGAGCAATTTGCCCATACCCGGTCGGGTATATATGGATACTCGATCGGGTATTACATGTTTCCTGCAGATTTTTAGCTTTAAAACACATGAAAATGCTTGTGGATTCAAGGGGTTACCTGCAATAGAGTCCGGGTTGGCCCGAGCATCGGCCTCGGTCATTGCATACACCCGTGCTTGGGTCCTCCCTTGGTTAACGGACGCGGCGTTACTAGCCGTGGGTCCGCCCCTTCCCGTGCCGCCTTGAGATGATCCTGCACGCCCCCTGTTAGACGTAGGTCCTTCAGGGACTCCCGATGGTCCTCCTCCATTCAACATTGGGCAAGAAAACTTGAGGTGACTAGTGCTACCGCACTTGTAGCACCGGGGTGGTGCATTGCATCTCCCGGCATGATTCTTGTTACAGTTTAGACACCTCGGTGGCCTCACGCTCCCCGAGCTGTGCCCTTGCCCTCCTGGACCCTTGCTCTTCTTCGCCGGTGGTTCCGGCGCCCTAAATGAACTTCCATTCCCAGCGTGATGTTTCCGAGAATGGTCTTGGGGTCCAGAATTTCCCCATCTTCTCTTCTTCGCCTCCTCGGCGTCTCTCTTCTTCCTTTCATTCCACTTGGCTTCCCCAAGTAGCCCCTGATCCACAATCTCACTAAAGGTCATGTGATGATTGTAGGTGGCCCTATCACGGATATCCAACTGTAGGGTATCCCAAAAGTGATTAGCCATGCGGTTCTCATCCATGGCGTACTCAGGTATGTATCGTGCCAAGTCCCGGAACCTCTGTTCCAATTGCCTTACCGAGCACCCATCCTCCTGTGTCAAGGTCATGTACTCCTTTCTCTTCTGATTCTTCTCAAATTCCGAGTAGTACTGGTTATAGAACTCTACTTCGAATCTCTCCCAGGTGGTCTCACCGTGGAACTTTCCTTCCACGCCTTCCCACCATACAGCAGCTACCCCTTCTAGTAGCCTGGTAGCAATCGTTAGCTTAATATCAAGCCCGATTTGCATATCCCTAGCAGCCTCGTTCAGTTTTTTGATCCAATCGGCAGCCACAGATATGTCACCCTTGCCATCGAATGACTTACACCCCAAGGCCCTTGCCTCCTTGAGGTATTTGGAGATTCTTACACAGAAACCTCCTCCTTGTACCCCCTGTGTCGCCACAGGAATGGCCACTGAAGCTCCCCGGCTTCCCTGACCCGAACCTCCCTGAGAAGCACGCCTAGCTTGGCACCTAAGATCTCTTCTTAGTTTCTCTTTTTGATACCACTCAAACAATTCACCCATCTGGGCGAATTTGGCATCACTCTCTTCGTTGTCATCATCAGTGTACGTATCACCCCCATCGTATGGGGTCTCCTCATGTTCCGTCTCGGGAACATAGGTAGAGTCATAATCCTCGGTGTGAGTTCCGTGCACCGAGCTAACATGGCCATCGCTCACGGTTTGACCCCGATGACCTCCACGGCCTCCACGGCCTCCACGGCCTCTCCTACCGCCCCTCGAGCCCCGAGATGCAACCTGGCTAGCCCCTTCGGACGTCACCGAAGTTTGCCCCCTCGGGTTGTTCCTCGTAGCCATGCGTCTACCCTCCATTTCTGAAAGAAATTTGGAATGAGCCGTTAGACTCGTATCAATGTCAATTGACGGAATAGTACAAAAGACACCACTTGGTCCAACATTATGGCCAACAAACTGTTAAGGGTACCGTCTTAACAATAAGAGGTCAATAACTTGGTTTCCAACGGTTCCTTAGGTACAAAAACTTTTGCTCATGGTTTTGTTCAAAACTTTTTGATGATACTATATTGAGAGGTCAATTATATAGTTTAGAAATCGATGGCTCTGATACCACTTAATTGTCACGCCCCGGACCGCATCCGTGCCACGTAGACAACCGCCGTACAACCCAATAAGAACAACGTAGTTCATTCTTATCAAATCATACAAGGCGTCCGAAAGATTCTATTGCCAAACCGATTAGTAAACCCATACAATCAACATCAATATATAAATCAAACACATGCGGAAATAAAGTATGTTTGACATTTAGCCACACGTGGCAAACATGAGCACGCAGGCCCTTCAATAGTTTAATAGAAAACATCGTTCAAATATCCATGAGCAATTTCATAATTTCAAATAAGAATGGAAGCACGAACCACGTCTTCCTTATTTGAGTTCACCCTAGGCAAAGGTGCAGGTAGCAGGACTCTAGCCTTAACCTGAAAAAATGTGAGGGCCCCCGAAGGGGTCAGTACTCCATAGAAGTACTAGTGACAAGCAGGCTATATGAGGAATAACTAATGTCTCAGACACGAGACCCAAAAATAGGATGATACATATATTTATAGGTGTAACCATTGTCACCCCATTCCCAAGATAATACATACTGTATATACTTGTAAAATACTTGACCCGTAGGTCGTTTCATCACAAAGAGTCTTTTAGAGATAAGGTTCTTCCCCAACCTATCCCCTTTCCATTCCTGAATGCCTAGCTTGAGAGCTACATTCTACCTTCATAATATCCTACCGAGTTTCAGGAGTGTTTACCCTCCCGGGGATGCTCAACCCCACCGAGTTTCTGGGATTGTTTACCGTCCCGAGGATACTCAACCTCACCGAGTTTCTGGGATTGTTTACCGTCCCGAGGATACTCAACCTCACCGAGTTTCTGGGATTGTTTACCGTCCCGAGGATACTCAACCTCACCGAGTTTCTGGGATTGTTTACCGTCCCGAGGATACTCAACCTCACCGAGTTTCTGGGATTGTTTACCGTCCCGAGGATACTCAACCTCACCGAGTTTCTGGGATTGTTTACCGTCCCGAGGATACTCAACCTCACCGAGTTTTAGGATCGTTTACCGTCCCGAGGATACTCAACCTCAACCTTATTTCTAACCAAACCCTAACCTGGATATGGCTAACTTTGCATTCACTTAACTATGGACAATACTTAGTCCTATAGTCATATAATAATCCTTAGTAACCAACGTGGACGGGTCCCACCTGATCGGTCCACGTTAACCTACTCAAAAACTACCCGTTTTGAGTATAACTCAATACTCGATCGAGTACCCACCAATACTCGGTCGAGTACAGGAGACAGGAGCCCGTAAGGCTAATTTCCAAGGCATACTCGATCGAGTACCTATCCATACTCGATCGAGTATAGGAGGCAGCAGCCCTTGGAGCCAATTTTTCAGCAGATACCCGGTCGGGTATTGTAGTTGACTTGGCGGTCAACGCCCGTTTGACCACCCAAACGGAGTCCGATTAACGTGAAATTTTACATGCATATTCTACTTGAAGTCCTTGATCCAAAAATACCATTTTTGACTCCTGGATCATTGTACATAATAAGTTATCACATTGTTAATCACCAAACATACAAAACATGCCTTTCAACTTTGTTTTATATATAATCATGGCATAAGCCCATACTTGATCAAACTTAATCATTCCGTAAAACATATCCTTGATTACCTTAGGTAATCTCATGCCTCAATCAAAAGTTATAAAGCATATAGCCGTCTTCTCACCTCAAAAGAAGCTTATGAAGTTCTAGCCTTTCTTATTGAGCTCCGGTGAAACTCCGGTGAACTTCAACGAACTCCGGCGACACTCCGGCGACCCTTTCAACTCCGTGAAAGTCCTTGAAGTACCTTATACAAGTTAACAACAAGGTTTTATCATCATAAAACCCATATCAACACAAATAACCTCTAAAAGGTTATTTTCCGACGAACCGGTCAACCTTGTTCTCTAAATCCGTTTTGGATATGAACCAACCTTCCAACCCTTCATTCTTCCCATATAACATGTAGAATGGTCCTAGGGGTGTGAAATATGATCATATAATCATATTGGAAGGTTAATGAAGAGGGATGAGATTAATGGAGTTATTACCTTGTTAATCCTCAAGTTTTCCTCCTTCTTTCTCTTTTCTTTCCCCTCCTTCTTCTCCTTAAGCTTTGGTTCGAATATGGTGGATGAAAATGGAGATTTTGATGAGCTTATCTCACTTGGTTGATGCTGGATACGAATGGGATTAGTTGGTGTGATTGAGAATGCCATTTTGGCATCTCTCACAATAATACTATGGCAAGGGTCCCACCTTCCAATTGATTGAGCTCTCAATCAATTTTCCTCCTTGTTTCTCCATGTCCTTGTGCGGCTCCCATGGGCATTTGCAAGACTAAAACGTGGGGATGGCCCCCACTTAGATGGGTGGTCATCCCTTTGTGTCCCCGAGTGTACACTCGGTCCCGAAAGTTGTATTTTCCGGACCGTTTTAACTATGTTTCATTTTAATCGGGTAAAATGAAATATCTATCATTCTTCCAATTATTATTGGATGTAAGAATGAGTGTACATCCCCCAACTTTTAATTTAGCGGTCTCCATAATTTATTATGGCTTTTATCTGTCAGTACACCGGTACCGATAAATGGGCTTTATTTGCCAAAAGGTTACTCTCATAACTTCTATGGCCCAACCAGGCTATCCACCATTATACACATATTATCTTGACCCAAATGAATATAATATGTGGTCCCAATATTATCGGGCGGCCCCCCACTTCCGGTGTGGGCCCCACGTAAATTTTACTATTCACGTAAAAGAAAGGATACAAATTCACAATCACGTAAAATGCGTTTATTCATTTCTTGGATTCAATACATAATTTGATAAAGTACAAATACTTGGGGGCGGTGTTACAATATCTGTTCGCTGAGCATGGAATGAATCTGTTGCAGCATTCATAAACAATTCATAGGCATCTGTGTTTGCCATTTCATGTAGAATTAAATATGACAATTAAAAATTTCAGAATGCCATCAAGAAATATATATATAATATCAACATTACAATCCAACTTATACGAAGTAAAATTTATTAAAAATACTTTTTTATGTTACCCAGTTTTGCCTTCAGGAACAATCTCCTTCTTAACATTTGAGCATGGAGATGGGTTTGGCTCACTCAAGGTAGATGTGCTATTTGGAGATTCTGGTTGATTCGATAAAGAACCGCTTGAAGAACTTGTATTATTTGGTGGAGGTGGGTTGAATGGTCTACTATCACGTGGAAGCCAGAAGCGTTCTGTATTAAGAGGCGGTGGCAAAGTTATTTGCCTTGAGTTGTTACCAGTTTGTCCACCATTAGTAGTTCTAACCATCTGTTCTAAAATCAAATTGAGACCCATATAATATTACATAAAAGATAATAAAAACTTTCAAAGCTCAAGCTAAAGCAGTAATAAAATCTAAATCAGACCTGCAGAGCCTGTAGAGTTTTAGATTGAGGAGTGTTGATATGATACAAACCCAACATTTATACATCTCGTGAGTGGGTATGTTATCATTCATTGTACTTTCTTTGTACCGTGGCTCACCACAAAATTTGCACATTCCCATTTCAATATCCTCTTTGTAATACAACATGCAACCGTTAATACAACAATCGATTTTCACATGACCGAGACCAAGTTTCGAGACCAATTTCTCTGCTTGATAAAAATTGGACGGTACTTTATTTGGTTGTGGCATTGCTCGACTACATGCATCTAACATCTCATCCATTGCCTTCTGTGCAATGTTATATGATGCTTTTATACTCATCATCTTCAATGTAAATGATAATTCGGTATCTGTAGTACATCCTGACCATAATGGTTGTCGTGCAAAATCAAGTAAGTCATAAAACTTCTGGGCACTTTCATGTGGCCCTTCAGACTCTCCATTTTGATGATTAGGTGTTGAGCTCATCCGAAAACTATCATGTACCATTGTTTCGTACATGTCATTCCCTTCATCCCCAATATGTGACACATCATTCACACTTTGAGTGAAATGTGGGATCTCTTCCCCATGACATGTCCAGTGCCAATAGTTTGATTCGAAGCCCCATTTATAAAGGTCGACTTTTACATCTTCAGGATTCTTGTAGCTTTGATTTCTACCTTTGGTACACGGGCATCTAATTACACCATTCTCAACAAATACTGCTTGTGCGCAAGCAAAGTTCACAAATTGTTCTACCCCAACTTTAAATTCATCTATCAATCCCTTTCTTTCTGGTTTGACTCGATTATACATCCAAAGACGTCCATTTCTCAAATCCATTTTAATCCTGGAATTAAAAAACATTAATTGATTTTTTATGATTATAATTACAACTACAATTTCAAAATGTTGATTACCGTAATAAGTATTTTATAAATTTAACTTCATGCACTGTACTATTGTCTACTTTTTTATCAATATAAACCAACTAATGAACACAATGCCTAAAAATGATACTCGTAGGCATTACACGTTGACATTGATTATAAATAGGCACTCTAATAATACAAAGGAAATTAGTATACAGTAATAGTTACAATTCATTACAGAATAGATTAGAGAATAATTAATCTTGAATAATAGTGAATACAAATGATATAAATGAATCAATAACACTTTCGTCTACTGAAAATGACAAAAATTACTATGAAATAGCACTATCTACTTTAATATACACATATGCTTTATTAGGATGTTTTTTTTTTCAGTCTCAGACCAGACCAAATCAGACCAAATCATATCAAACCAGACTTCCATAGTGATAAAATATACAGAGACCAAACATTTACCAGGCCTAATCAGATCAGACGAGATCAGACCATATCAGACAGGCAAATTTCAATCCAAAAGAAAACATCATTAGTGTACTACAATTATTATTTGCTTAATATGAGGACAATAAATAAAATTGTATAAAAAAGACAAAATAAATACATAAAATCCTACTCCGTAAAAATTACATTTTACAAAAGGTAAATAAACTGACCCCTTTCAAATTAATCATGAAGCGGTTACGGACTACTCCGTATAAAAACAAGATGTAAATAAATTAATTGAACTAACCTTATTGAAGGACCAACTTGAACTCCAATAATTGTGCATCTCACAAACAAATACTTGCAGATAAGCTTTTGATTCTATCCGGAAGTGAGATGTGGATCGGAGGAAGTAAACATGCCAACTTTTTTTATAGTCAAATACTCATCGGTAAGAGTTACATGGAGTAAATGTATAATTAAATGGAGTAGGTTTTAGGTAGAAAAACGGATGGATAGCAGAGAGTGGGTCAAGTATGTGTACATTTTCCTTGCTAAAAATCTATGTTTAAAAAACCGACCCGACCCGGCCGGGTTGACCCGGAACCCGGTGACCCGGACAAAAAACCGGTTCGGTTTTTTCAAAACCCGGAAATGGTCAAAAACCGGAAAAACTCGGCTGACCCGGGAAAACCCGGTCAAGACCCGGACCCAAGAACCCCGAAAAACCCGGTAAAACCCAGTTTTTGGGTGTTTTTACCAAAAAAAAAAGTAATTTCTTTTTTATTTTTAATGCATTTTTTATACCAATAAAATTGCAATTTCAATACCTTAAAAATAAAAACTATGTAATATATTTATATATTTATTTAAGAATGAACATCATGCCAAATTATAATATAGATGTACAATAAAAATAAAAATATCATTATATATTTTTATAAGATCAAAATATACATTGAAATGTTATGAGAGTGTATTAAATGCTTAATAAGTAGTATTGTTAGTTGATTATTATGAATAATAACTAATTTTTATTATAATTATATATATAATTATATGTTTACTATTATTATATATACGTATAATCATTGACCGGTTTTCCGGCGTTGACCGGGTTGACCCACCGGGTCCGGGTTGACCCGTGACCCAGTCATGTGGCCGGGTCACTCTCCGGTCCGGTTTTTACAACATAGCTAAAAATCAGAGAGGGATATTTTTCCTTTCTAATGCAATAAATAATTTTATTGATTTTCTAATATAATAGAAAGGAGTCAGGTTTCCTATCTAATGAGTCAAATTCCTTACTAATTTGTTTCATCTTTTATGGTAGCAAATTCCTTTCAAATTTCCTATCTAAATTAGATACCAACAATCTTTCCTCTCAAAGTCCTCTCTAATCTCCCATTTTCTAGTAGTGAATGTGAGTACATCTAGAAAATTTATTGTCATGTTTTATATTTCTAGACTACACTCATATAAATGTTTTAAAAATATTTTGCAAATTTGACATCAATTACTCTTATTTAGTGAGTAAAATAAAATAAAAACATAACACTCCTTATTTCGAAATTCCATTCACATTTACTATATATAGGCAATTTCTTAATGAGTGGCGTTCCTGACTTCCTGCCCAGCCGGTGCGACGGAAACCTCCGTCCCGCCGAGTGCATTTCGGGCACTTCCTAATGGAATTTTTTGATAAATTTTTTTGATCATGTTCTTCATCAAATTTAGTTTATCCGTATCAAATTTCATCTAAACATTCAATTAAGAAGGCAGTAAAATAATTTTGTAAAGATTACTACGCTTTATATATATAAACAGCGTAGTTTTTTTCAATTACATGTTTGATTGTCTTCTCGGTTGAATTTTTAGCTAAAATTTGGTATGGATAAACCAGATTTGATGAAGAACATGCTCAAAAAAAATCATCAAAAAATTTCATCAGGAAGTGCCGGAAATACCCTCGATCGGACAACGGTTCCCGTCAGGCCGGTTGGGCATGAATTGTCCTCATTTCTTAATTATTAATATTATTAGCTGCAGCATCTCCTTTGTCATGGTTTACGAAGTCTCTTAACTTGATTCTTTCATACATTGGATCCAACTTTATATACACTAGCTTTTATTTATTGCTAAAGATAAAGCTTTTCATCCAGCTTTTTGTATGACTCGTGACCACAAGTCCATTAATGAAATCTGTCACAAACCCATGCACAAATTTATACGGAGTATTTATTTTTCTCTCTTTTCAATTCAATTCATCTAAATCACTCTTTGAACTCCATCGTTCGTTTGAAAACGCTTGTTCTCTATCTATATTATTATGTTAGTAGCTTTCAAGCCCGTGCGATGCACGGACAATATGTAATTTAGGTAATTTGAAATTTAATTTCTATCGGATCACATATAATGTGATTTAAAAGAAAAATAAACTTAGTCTAATATAGAGTCTATTTGATAATACTAAAATAAATAGAATTAACTTATTTTGCTGAAATTGATTGAATTCTGGTTAAATAGGTGGAATCTCCTGAATTATGAAAAATAATTGTGAAATATATTCCACTTGTGAAACAAAGAAAAAATTATATGAAAAAAAATTAAATTGGTCTTCTACATATAAGCATCCCAAGTAAACATAATTGTTATGAACTCAATATTAATTTTTTTTTTTACATTTCTTAATTGTTAGATCTTACAGTTTACTCAGTAATAAGAACGTTTTTAATTGAATTAAAATTTCGGGTTTGATTTGGTATGAACTAATATGGTCTATTATATGTCTATTTTTTATGTGACTTATTGTTATAATTATTAAAGTTTGATCTGACCTGATTTAATCTGGAACTGAAATCAATCCAATTAAAAACATTCTATTAAAATAAAAGTAGAAATTTGTAAACATATAAAGATTTTCTAATTTGGATTAGGAATCTATTCAAAAGTGAAGGCATATTTAAATTTTAGGTGTAAACTAAAGAAACAACCAAAAATATTTACTTACTCCGTATTTAGCTAGGCTAAACGTATTTACTTGTGAAAATATATATACTTTATGTTGCTTATAATTTTTAATTTCATTTTTAAATATTTACTTATTTGAAGCTTACTAATTTATTAATAGGTGTCAAATTAATAAGTAAACTAATTTGCATATTTGTTTCTATTTAAGTCCGTTTAGTAAACTTATGTAAATTAGTTTCCATATCAATAAACGTTATTAGAATTTCACTTTGATAACCAAAAATTATTTTACTTATTTGAAGCTTACCAAATTAATTAAGGTGAATTTTTAAGGATTTTTGTTTTCATATCAATATGCAATCAAAAATAGAATCTAATAAAAACAAAAGGTATAAAAATAACTAAATAATTGTTATATATAATGACATGGCAGGATTATGTGGCGCTTTGTATGCTCTTAAAAATTTCCTCTTTTATATATATTGATTGTTAAGAGCCTGTTTGGTAACACTAAAATCGGCTGAATCGGCCAATTCTGCTGGAATTTATGAAGTTCTGATTGAAGTGGCTGGATTGATGATTCTGCTGATTTATGGGGGGGAAATTTAAAATATATTTATTAACAAAATAAACAAAAAAACAACATGAAAAATAGCTAAAATAGTCATATACGGTAACTTTAGCCAATACAGCCAGAAAAGTCATTTCAACCTTACTTTTTCTTATTATTACACAACCTAGCTCGTGAACTCAAAAGTTACGCCACTTAGGGTTGGTTTGCAACTCCTTTTAAAAAAGCATTTCTCAGCTTTGGCTTTAAAAAAGCACTTATTTTCCCAAACACTACAACTTTTATTTTTCTCGGCTTCCGCGTCAAAAATGCCTTTACTTTTTCTATTACACAAAAAACACTTATTTTACCAAACACTACCCACTTTTACTTTTCAAAATCACTTTTTTCTCAAACACTATCAACTTTTATTTAATCATTTCTCCACATTTCATTAAAAAAAGCACTTTTTAAAAGCAGAAACTATTGCAAACAGACTCTTACACGTTTGGTGAAAAATTTGACTGATAAGCCGAAAAATTGGGATCTCTAAGTCTCTCACATCCTCACGTGCAACGGTGCAACGCAACTAAATCGATTGTGAACTACGAAGCACTACAAAGTAAAGAAAATCCCATTTTCTTAGTGTTCTGAATCTTATTCGCATTATGCACATTCAATAAACTTAAATAAATATCGCAAAAAAAAGGATATTTATGAATATGAAAAATAACGTATCAATGAAAGTCATTTTTACATAAACAAATAATAAAATGCTACTTATGTTTTAAAAATAATTTATTTTTAAAACCATATATGCCAAAATATTTGTTTTTGACTGAATGGCTGATAAACAATTAATAAAATGCTACCGCCTACTTCTAGCAGTATGGAACCGTATCTGAGAACTATCCTATTTGCATACATCTATGAATTTCATATGGAATATCTAACATGATTGGATCTAAAACTATTATTGGGTTTACCTTTTTATAAGGGTTGGTAGTGTAAGTATATACAAATAGTACAAATAGTTAATAATCACAAAATTTCTAAAACCCAAAACTTTTTATGGCTTCCTACCTAGCCTTGAAAAGATGGTTCTCGGACTAAAAATTCCAGTAATAGCATAGATGGGAAAGTCTCCCCTATCATCTCCCATGATGTCCTGATCCTCCGGAATTTCCTCCTAGCCGGTTATCTCAAAGTAATTGTGCTCAAGTCCAGCTCATCATCTTCCTCCGCTAGCATTACCTTTAACTGCTTAAACGGCAGTCATGTGAATCTAGAGCATGCAGTGGATTGCCCGGACTGCCCTGAAGTGGGTCTTGTGGCTTGTCCTGTAGCTTTTGAAAAACTGTTAGTAGACCTCCGCATGTTGTTGCCTTTTGAGGATACATATAGGCCCATTCTTGGTCGACAGTAATGCTCGAACGCGTTCTGAATTATAAGATTGACTTCCCCTTCATTTTGACAGGACAGAGTATCCTCGATATCCCTAGCTAATTCCATAGTTGTTTCGAGATTATCTGGACGCAGCAATTGTAGGGAGCCTCGCATTGGTCCCTTCAGTTCATTCATGTAATGTCCCAAATAATAATCATCGAACAGTCTGGGAACCTGACTGGTCAATTGAACAAGAAGGGTATTATATTCATCTATGGTTCCCATCTGTTTAACCTCGGACAGCCATTGGAATCGGGCAACCGGTGCTTGTGTGAATTCCTCCCAGGTCATGTCCTGTTCCGTGCCTTCAACCAGGTTAACCACTACAGGGCAGCCCCTTCCATGGGTACCATAGCGGCTGCAATTTTTCTTCCTCGTGTTGTTTGATTGAGTTTGAATGGTTGTTCAGCCCTGAACATCCATCTGATTGGGTCTTAGTCGTCAAATGAGGGCAACAAGGTGGTCGCCGTGTTGCACCACCCACTGTCGATAGTGTGTCCTGATGCAGCGTCGCTGGTTGACGCGGGCTCTTTTTCCAGTGGTGCCATGGCCTTCACGAGTGCACGGAGTGAAGCTGCAATCTCGGCAAGCTAGATAGCCTATGCATCTTGTTGGGTGTCGATTTCTTTCCGGCTCAGGTCTCCAACCTCCACAATAGGCTCACATACACCACCCTAGGCTAGACCATAACACAACACCATGTTTTATCTCCACCACTAAGGTACCTCTCTCAACTTACACACAAAGGAAAGGAGAAGGGGTCTGCTCTCTGGATTTTCTCTCACGCAGGACAAGCTCACAAGGAAGAAGAGAGCTGCTAAATAATAGACTGGCCAACACTAAAGGACACTCACGGGTGAAACAAAGACAAAGGAGGAGGCAGCGGACAACTCATTTGGGGTCACTCCACATAAGTCAAAATGGCCATATTATTGGTTAGGAGAGATTCAAAAGAAGGTATCAAAGTGGGAGTAAACATGGGTGCAAGTCAATAATAAAATGGAAGGGAGGCCTTGGTAGGACCAATACCTCCAACATTCTCCACCTTATTGGTCCTAAGTGGTGTAGAGTAACAATACAAGGTTGTGAGGAGACTCATCATCGCCGGACCATTACAAGTACATCATTGCGATCATACAAGTAATAGATGAGAACCAAAGTTCCCTTTCGGACCAAGCTTACCGTGCAAACCCACTTCACGATGGACTGAACTCTACCAATCGGTCCTCGAGTTCAGAACCAAAACCATCACAAAACTATTAACAAGCACAACACATGTTAATAGACCACGCAAGCAAGCATCCGGGAGAAGTTGGGGATTCCAACTAATCCAACAGCCACACAAAGCAAGTATAAAGAAAATAAAAGAAACAATATTATTTCTATAACTGGCACAGGCGGAGCTCACATAATCACATGGTATCACATTTTCAAAACACAAAGAAAATAGCATACCAAGTATCACAAAGATTTTAATTAAAAGAGAATTAAGTACATTTAAAGCCAACTTAGAGGAAATATAGTCAAACACATTGCACATATTATTTCTCACATGCTTCCTAATGTCTCTATCTCTAATAACATGGCAATCACGCAACTCAAGCATATTGCACACAACATTCATATCATGCTCCACCTTAATAGAAATATTATTTTCTTTATTTTCACCATGAAAAACATTTTCATCCACAAATTTGGGTTGGGTTTCAACAAGTAAATCAGAATGAACATAAGGCAAATGCTCCACCTCATTTGGAGCAACATCAGGAGAAACAAGCAGGCAAGGAAATTCATTTTCAACAAAAATGACATTTCTACTCATCAACACATTGAAGCAAGTTTCACTCCTACACCAAGAGTTTTTTTCCGTATTAATGTTAATTAATTAATTATTTACGGAAATAATGCTGGAAAAAAAGTATTTACCAAAATACTGCTGGCCCTAACCGTGGTCAGGGCAAAGTCGCCCAACGGTTGGGCGACTTATAAGTCGCCAAACGGTTTGGCGACTTATAAGTCGCCCAACCGTTGGGCGACTTTGCCCTGAAATATGTTAACAACCGAGCAGCTACTGCCAGCCAGGCACGATCGTGCCTAGAAAGGTAGACACGATCGTGCCTATGTCCAAAAACAGCATTTCATCAGGTTTTTCGCTCCGGTTCAACCCAGACTCATCTGTTTGCTATAAATAATGTCTCCCTTCTCCTGTTAAAGTATTACGAACTAGATACAACACATTATAATCACCTACTCTCAACAGCATAAAAAACACCTTATAAACACCGCTAAAAAACTTTCAAATCATAACCGATATAACACAGTTCAATCATCATATATGCCATAACAAATAATCATATAATATTCATACTCGAACACATCAATACAACATAGAATACTTAACAAGAGAAAATACATCAAAACTTGTAAATTGTTCCTACAACATCTACTGCATAAGAAAAACTACAATACAAAAGACAAACTACAAGTTCCCATCATCAGCTTCGTCATGGAGATGTTGCTGCTCATGTCTACGCCTACGGCGTTGTCGTGGTTGAAGAACCACTCTCTCATGTTGCGTCTGGGATGATGAAGCCGCAGCTGCACTAGACGTGGATGCCATCTCCTGAGATGCGGGCATGTGTATAAGATGTCTGTAGTCTACTCGACCCAACACATCTGAGCATAACGAGGCAATGCCTGTCAGAGTCTGTCCATACATGTCCACATCAGGAATATCAGTCACAGTGGCAGTAGCCCGCTGATGTATGCGCTGCAAAGCTCGTGTCTGCAATACGAAACACAATTACAATTACATTGAAATACATACAAGTATTACATAAATAAAATGACTTACTTTACTAATTAGTAATATACTCACTGTAAAATGCAATGCCAATGAGCTAGGCTGATAATGATGAGTAGGGAGTCTGAACGAAGGAGACACAAACAACCGAGTGATGCTGTAGTACCATCCCATGTAATCTGCTGAAACTGATGGCACATATGTGGGTGTCCCAGCCACAGCTAGCTCAGCTCTCCTATCCCACATAGTCACGTATCGGACATGTCTGAGTGCCCAATCCTCTGTATGCTTCCCACGCCTATCCAGCCTATGCAGCTCTACATAAGTGTCGATAGGACGTGGAATGACCTGCTCAAACCCAAACTGTCGCATGACTCTATCAGGCAAATGAAGCTCAACAATGTCAAAACATATCAGCGGCACACGTGCTCGCCATATGTGAGTCTGCTCTCGGCCAGCTGGGGGCAACTCTGCTAACATATCAGGTCTATACGGCATCCATGTGATCTGTTTCGTAAACATACAAAATTAGTATTTATTCTACACCTATTCTAGTTACTGTTATACTACACACACCATACCTGGTCCTCTGACATCCGATCCAATGCATCCCTGTACACACCGAGGCCAGTAGCGGATGACATGCGAGATAAACCAGCATATAGCCACCTAACCATTAATGTTACAATATCAATAATATGGATTTTATTAATGCATTTACATTCAACAAAAAGTAACACAAATACAAATGATTTAAAACATACCGACGGCCTAGAGGGTCCACGCCCCGTACATGATGTGGTCCTAGCAGACGTGGAGGCTCATCAGGCAGTGGCTGTCCATCAATGCCATGATATCCAACTATAATGGGACGGCCAATGTGGATATACTCCCATGACCAAATCTGGAGGAGTAGCAAAAATCCACCCAGCTCTGTGCTCCCTCTCTGGCACCCGCGACACAGCTGCCTGTAGAGATAAGCCAGGGTGGCACTACCCCAGCTAAACTGTGCTGCTACATCAAACCTCTCAAGCAAAGGCAAGTGTAGCACCTGAACCTCATTTCCGCTCTTGTCAGCGAAAATGGAGGCTCCCATCATCATCAATATATACGCCCGAGCATGCTGCTGGATGATCATCTCATCAGCGTCGGGAGGAAGGGCCTGGAAGTGCTCCCTCAACCATGGCATCCTAAGAGATGACCCCTGAAGGTCAGCCCTAAGAACGGGGCGGATGCCTAACAACCTCTCACACTCATCCACCCACTGTCGACAAGCAGTGCCTGTAACAGCTCTCCCATCAACCTCTAACCCGGTAAGTACAGCCACATCTCCCAAAGTCACAGTGACCTCACCAACAGGGAGGTGAAATGAATGTGTCTCCTGCCTCCAAAGCTCAAGTAGAGCAGTGAGGAGGGCTCTATCTAAAGGCACAGTAGCCACTAACCTGTGCAGTGTAAAAAAAACCTGCTGCACGAACATAGGCTAGGACTCTGGGGTCGACATGTAAATGGGACAAACCACGCAGATGCTCGCGGCACCTATCAACCTGCACATCCATGCCAAGCCAAACATCCTCACTCCTGTGTGAGGCCTGCAGTGTCAGGACAGAAGGATCACTCGGCCCAGGATCCGCTATCACCTCCATACCTACAAACAAAATTTGTATCAGTTCTAATTGTATTAGTTGTAATTGTATAATGTATTAAATTTTTTTTAACTTCCTTTTTTGAATTTATTAATTTTCCTTGCAAGGAAATAATGAATTATGATTGACTCTAAATATACACATACCCGGCGGACCCCCCCTCTTGTCTAGATGATCTCTTTGCACATGTCGCTCTATTATGGCCGGTTTGGTGGCATCTTCCACATCTTACCGTTCCTCGTGGACCTTCATCCATCTCATTCTTAATACGGGTCGACTTTGGTCTTCCCTTTGCCCGAAGCATGGATGGATCGTGCACGATTTCGGGTCCATTGTAATTGGGCCAATAATCACGATCAGGAATCGGTTTGAACACCCTATGATACGTGGCGGCGTATTGGTCAGAAGAGAAGAACTTATCCACAAATGGAGCATAAGACAAACTACGTTGTCTACACACGGCTAATACATGGGAGCAAGGAATCTTGTATATCTCCATCTTTTTGCAAGTGCACGTTTTCCGTTGTAGATGGACAGTTTGTTTTCTCCCACCCTTTCCCAACGTTCGGCCACCACAACCGGTCTCCACCTGAAATATACCTCGCCCTAAATCAAATGGAGTGACAATGTGATGCTTTGCCTTCTCTCTATTTTTTTTCAATTAAATCTGTGATGTATGGGGAGTACTCGTGGCCTTGTGTGAGCCTCAACTTACTACTTTCACGCCTATTCACAAAGTACGCATTAACCCGGTAAAAAGACACCTGGACCAAGGCGGTAATGGGCAAATATCTAGCATTTTTCATGACGCTATTGAAAACCTCAGCCAGATTTGAAGTGATGGTACCGTATCTGTACCCGCCATCATGGTGCAGCGACCACATTTCTGGAGGAATGTTGGCCAAAAATTGTCGTGCATCCCTACTCATTTCACCTATCTTCTTGAACCCACCATCAAATTTTTTTTTCTGATGTTGTCGTGCGGTCCACACAAATAGATTTTTTAAATGAATGTCTTTGAAATGAGTGTGCACATTTGAAGCAAGATGACGGATGCATAGCCTATGATGCGCATAAGGCTCCTCCCAATTACTTCCCACCTCATTCATTGCCCTAACAATACCTCCATGTCTATCTGAAATGACACACAACTCCCTGTTAGTCACAAAATGCCTAATACATGCCATAAACCATGGCCAACTGTCTCCATTCTCCGATTCAACAACTGCAAAGGCGACTGGGAAAATTTGGTTGTTCGCATCACAACCCATGGCCACGAGCAATGTGCCCTTGTACTTTCCATACATGTGTGTGCCATCAATAGTAAGTACGGGTCGACAATGCTTAAAACCAGATATTGATGCCTTGAATGCCCAAAAAACTCTTTGAAACATCATATAACCTGTCGCACCATTGGGGGGTGGGTACCACTGAACAACAGTTCCTGGATTAGAATGTTGGAGCGCTGTCATGAAACGGGGCAACTCGAAATATGACTTTTCCCAACTGCCAAATATTTGTGCTATGGCCTTTTGCTTCCCCATCCATGTTCTCCGGTAAGATACAGTATACCCATATTTTTCCTTCAACATCTCGATGATAGTATGCACTTTAAGAGAAGGATCAGTGCGAATAATGTCAACCACATCTTTACAGATGAATTCTGATGTCAAGGCCACGTGATCTGTAGTGTCGATGTTGCCTACACAAGAAGCAGAATGAGGTCCAGAATAACGCACAATTGTGAAGGTGTCAAGGTTGCCTTTGTTCTTTGTGGCGCGTATTCTCCAGGGGCATTGACATTCTTTCTTCCTTTTGCATTGTGCCACCCATTTGTGTTTATCGGACTCTATCACCCGATAGAATTGGTTCCGTTTGATAGAATACAAGCTCACCATATTGATGACTTGTTCTTTGTTGTCAAACTGTTGACCGACCTCAAACTCACCATCAGGGGTAAACCTTTTCTCACCTGATCCACTCATCCACGCATCAGTAAAACCTTCAGGGAGATCATACATTCTAGTGAAGTGACTAGACGGGGCAGTTGGTGTCACAGTATCACCATCATCTTCATCAGATTCTGTCATGTCGTCACCATTGATGTTCTCGTTTGCATCATCATCACTTCCCTGCCCATCCACAAATGACGCACCGTTGTGCAAATACCTGCCATCCTCCTGTATAACCATGTCTAGTACAGGAACCTTTGACGACTTCCCTGCATTCACCCCTGCACTGACATCATGCCTAGATACACCAGCATTTGATGTCGATTGAGTAGCATTAGCGTCAAAGCATTCCTCAATGTATACCTCCAGCGACGACATATCCTCCATCTGAATTATGCCCCACATATTTGTTATAGCTAGCTCATCAATGAGCGGCATAAGCATGTACTTTCCCCCGTTCATGGGAAATTTCATTTTCAACCGCAATGAACGGCCGGGATGAATCATTGTCGCTGCATGTATTTTTTGAAGGATCTCGACCATGCAAGCGCCACGAGAAACCATGACAAAGCTCGTTCTGCCACCTTCATGGCATATTTGCCCACCATTCTCATAATAGTTCCCTCCCCAATGACACACGAGTGGGAAGCTTGAGAAATCCATATTCTAATAACAACTCATTGTCCAACATTCATGAGTAGGCATCAATATACACACTTTATACACATTCACATTTTTAATAGAAATTGCTTCCAAAATTGTAATATATCATTAACTCCAAATTCACAAACAATTCACATTTCAATAACAAACTACCCAAATTTTGATATCTACATTCAATGTCTACCTTTGAATACCCAAATTTAGGTACATTCAACTCTACCCAAATGCCCAAATGTCAAAATACACACAACATTTTACAATTAATTTAAAATCAAATGTCAACATTTCATACATATCCACATTTCACAACAACTTCATTCACAATCAATTCATAATCCCAAAATTCAAAAATTTAACATTCTAAACCCTAGGTGCAAAATTAGATGAAATGGATTTGAATTTACCTAGAATAAGGAGTAAAGATTGTGTTGAAGATGAAGATGGAGGTTTTCCGGAGTGGGGAGGCTGGAGATGGAGCTTCGCCGGAGTTGGATAGGAGCTCGGTCGTCTTCTTCCTTCGTCTGCCGTAGGTGCTGCGCTAGAGGGAATTTGGGGCTGCAGTTGCGAAGTGTTCTGTTTGGGGGAGGACCCCGTTTTTACTTAAAGGAAAAGTCGCCCAACGGTTGGGCGACTTATAAGTCGCCAAACCGTTTGGCGACTTATAAGTCGCCCAACCGTTGGGCGACTTACCCCTACCATGGTTAACCCAGCAGTATTTTGGTAAATACTTTTAACCCAACCCTATTTTCGTAATTAATTAATTAATTAACATTAATTAGGAAAAAAACTCCTACACCAAAGCCTATAACCTTTCATGCAATCATGATATCCTAAGAAAACATATTCCTTAGTCCTAGGTTCAGATTTATCATTCACACGATTCACATAAGCAGCACAACCAAACACTCTCAAATTTGGCAAGTTAAGTGGTTTGCCCATGAACACAGATTCAGGGCATTTCCCTCCTAAGGGAACAGACGGGGACAGATTAATCAAATCAACAGCATAACAAATAGCTTCCCCCCAGAACTTATTAGAGAGCCCAGATGAAGCTAACATAGCCCTCACCCTCTCTAATAAAGTTCTAACCATCCTCTCAGCAACCCCATCCGGTTGGGGTGTGGAGGGAACAGATTTATGCATAGAAATACCCCAAGTATCACATAAATCACCAAACTGATCATCACAGAAATCAAAACTGACAGTGGTCCTTAAAAAATTAATTTTCTTACCGGTTTGTTTTTCAACAAGGGTTTTCCAGTTTTTAAACTTATCAAAAACTTCAGATTTATTCTCAATCAACAAAACCCACACTTTCTTTGAAAAATCATCAATCAACGTCAGAAAATAATTTTTCCCACCATGAGTGGAAACACCATAAGGACCCCACAAGTCAGCATGAATACAATCAAGCACATTAGTACACTTAGGCAGATCAGGAAAACCAACTCTAGACTGTTTTCCTAGCACACAGGGTTGCACACAATTCACAGAATCAAGTACGGGTTCAGCATGACAAACATACAAGTTGTTTTTCATCTTAGCTTTGAAAACAACTAAACAACCCTTCACAACTTTCATGATTCCCTTTCCCCATTTTCCCTTCAAACCATCATTTTCAAGAGATGCACAAGATAGCAAATTACAACACAGCTCAGGAACATGCCTAACATTCTTCAAAGTAAGCACATAACCAGAAGAAAACCTAAGGCATACATCTCCTATTCCTAGCACATTACATTTCTTCTCATTTGCTAAAGACACAAAGCCATGCTCAATCTCTCTATAGTTTGAAAAAACATTTTTCAAAGGGGACATGTGAAAACTACAACCAGAATCTACCACCCAATCTGATTTACCCAAAGAATCAGATATCACAGAACTCAAATAGTCATAATCACATAGATTTTTCATCATAAAAACATCACCTAAATCATCTACACACGTAGTCAAATTAGCATGCTCACTATGCTCATTTTTCCTAGATTTAGGACAGTCTCTTATGAAATGACCAGATTCATGACAATAATAACAACGCCTCGAATTAGACCTAGACTTAGATCTATGTCGTCTACTATTATCTCTACCCCTCACATGCATAACCTCCTCAGATTTTCTACCCTCACCCATCTGTTTTAAATCTAATTCCTTACTCTTAAGACCATTTACCACAATGTCAAGAGTCACATTATCTCTACCATACTTAATAGCAGATTTCACATCACTAAAGGAATCAGGAATAGCATTTAAAAGGGCAATGGGGGAATAATCATCTATATGCTTATCACCACACAACTTAATATCCGAAATAAGTTTGGTAAAAACATCTAGATTTTCCTCAATATCTATAGACATATCTAGTCTAAATTTGAAGAACTTTTCAAGTAAAAATATCCGGTTAGGCAAAGAGGTCTCAGTATACAGTTCATCTAATTTATTCCAAAGAACTTTAGCACTTTCTAAAATTCCAACTTTTCTAATCACAGAGTCAGATAAGTTCAAATAAATCACAGAACATGCATTTTCATTCATTTCAGCCCTTTTCTCTTCTGTGTCAGAAATTAAATAGGTTTCGCCAACTGCTTTAAAACATTTTTGTTGTATTAAAATACATTTAATTTTTTGCTTCCAAATGCTAAAATCAGATTTTCCATTAAATGGAGCCATACCATACTGATTATAAGCAGACATTTTCACAGAGAAAAAACAAGCAACAAAAGAAAATGCAAATTTCGCTGAAAAAACAATTTAAATATTTATAAGGCTACAAATATACGGAGCAACTAGCACGAACACGTGGGGAGTATTAATGAGCACCAAACTCAACTTCAAACCCCTTGTTCTTCCGTATAAGCGCAAATAAATAATAAATTTTCAGCACAACACAATACAACAATTCAAACAATTTTAACAGCAGTAATAAGCCTAAAACAAGAATTTCTACACAATAAAGATTAAATCACTACAAAAGCGATAAAAGGGATAAAAGTCAATATACCGGAGCGAAACCCTAGGAGAGGCGTTTCGACCTTACCCACCCAATTCAAAAATTGGGATTTTTCTGATTGTTAACTGACTATTGACTGCCATTGACCGGGTTTGACCAGCTTTGACCGGTTGACCCAGCACTTGACCGAGTCCATCCACTGCTCCAGGTCCAGCTCCAAGTCCCAGCAACAAATAAGCAGTCCAACAGCCCAAAGCCCAATAGCAGTCCAGCAGTTCCAGTAGCCCAGAAACCTTCGTCCCTGCCTCTGCTTTCCTTCTTGAGCGTCAAGCCTAGCGTCCGGGTCCAAGCTCCAAGCCGATTCCAGCTTCTCAAGCCACAGGTTTTGCACCTTCGTCCTGCGCGGCGATTCGTAGAGCAGACCCCTTCTCCTTTCCTTTGTGTGTAAGTTGAGAGAGGTACCTTAGTGGTGGAGATAAAACATGGTGTTGTGTTATGGTCTAGCCTAGGGTGGTGTGTGTGAGCCTATTGTGGAGGTTGGAGACCTGAGCCGGAAAGAAATCGACACCCAACAGTGGTATCAAAGTGGGAGTAAACATGGGTGCAAGTCAATAATAAAATGGAAGGGAGGCCTTGGTAGGACCAATACCTCCAACACATCTAATTTCCGCCCGGGCATATCAAGCTTCTAGTTCATCAGGGCTTGCTCAGCTTCTACCTTTGTTATACGATTAGTGTTTGATCTAGTCATTCCAACCGGATGAGATCCGAGATGTCGGACCAAGTTGTTGTCACTGAAAATTCCAATCGAGGGTAAATCCATTGCCTAAGCTAATTTAGCTAATAAATCTGAATTTTATTGATAACCTCCTGAAAAGCCTTGCATAGGGCATATATAATACCCCTTTACAACCAAGTTCCACTAGGAAACTACCAAGCTGAATAATTGCATGTAGCCTAAGTTTTATTAGGCAACAAGGCTTACGCACCAAGCCTAGCTTGCGTACAAGCGTTAAAGTGGAATCCTAATACTCCATAATAAAAAGCAATAATAAAAGAAACAACTTAACATAAATGAAACTAATTAAAATTAATATCTCAGCCCATGAATAACTCAGCCCACGGAAGTGGAGTTAGGCCTGTCTCCGCCTCCGATAGACCAAGGGCTTGGGTCTCGAACCCCTTTCTTCTGGCCCATCTCCTTGGTCCCGCTGCTCTATATCATGCACCTAGAAGTCATTAATATGTGACATGATTTGAGAGAAGGCTACCAGTGATCTAGTATGAAAACAAAGATGGTTAAATACATGAGTTGATGAGTTGATGCCTTGTATGTTAGCAAGTCAATGTAGAACAATAGCACCCAACAGGCTTGTTATAACCACTTTATATTCCTTAGTGAAAGCGGGAACATGTGACTATGGACTCGTGATGAGACTAGGGATGGATCAGGACCGGGTCGGGTTCCGAGTCGGGCTTGGATGGGCTTCGGGTCCAAATATTCAGGCTCGGTACCGGCCCGGGTTAGTATCGGGCCCGGGCCGGATCAGTTCGGGCTCCAAGTAATTTTGTTTGAGTAATTTCAAATTAATTCCAACCCCCCACCCTCAAACCCCTCAAATCGCACAGCCCCACACATCTAACAGTCAACCCAATGCCAAAAAATTAAAAAATTAAAAAAGGGGACCCGAAACGGCCCATAATGTGATGAAAGGCGGATCCTAATTGACTCCACTAAAAGGCATGCGCCTTTGGGGAAAGGTGTACGTTCTAAGGCGGTGAAATTGTACGCAATAAAAGAGCGTCGATTAAATGAAATAAATAAGCCAATAACTATTACAACAATTGAAAAAATTCGCTCCCTCCTGCCTCCTGGCTCCTGCTCTATCTCTAGCTTCTCCCCTCGATATTTATCTTTGTGCCTTGGCCGCCTCTCGCCATCAAGTCCCACAAGTAATCCAAGGTCTCACTCGTAGGTTTATAAAGACTTGACACATGCCTATCCTATAACATTATGTAAAGTCTGAATAAGGGTCTAAGAACTCGATAGAATGTTTCCAACGAGCTACAAAACGCTTGGAACGAAAGAACATACGGAAAGATATGACCAAATCAAATACTCAACATGTTTTCTGTAATATAACATTTTCAGAGTAAGTGGAGCATACTTATAACATTTTCAGAGTAAGTGGAGCATACTTAGCGTAATTAGAATCAGTGCTTCCAAATGTTTAATTTATGTTTTCCATTACATGTCATGCTTTCGTTGGTAAACTTCTCATATGTCGTAAGTTTATATGCTGATGTGTTGTAAGTTTCTTTAAATTGCAAGTAATTTTAAATGGGTAATTTTAAATTTTAATTAAAATTTAAAATTTGCTGATATATATACACACATCTATATAATTGTGTGTGTGTGTATATATGTATAATTAGATTAGAAACATTAAAATATATGTTGATAATCATTATTTGTTTGATGTCGTGTTCAAACTTTAAACTCACAAATTCCATTACTTAATGACATTATTGTTGATTTGTTTATGAAATTTGTTGTTTGGGATTAATATTTACTTCTCATTATTTCAAAAAATATATACACACAAAAAAAATAAGATTTACGCCTCATCTTTACGGCGCAATGCGTCATGAGGCTTATGCAATACCCCATAATCGGCTCGTAGCAATTTCGAACATTGATCATAGTATAATATGTACATGGTTACTCAAACAGCTGACTCAACAGCTATTAGTCTATTACACTCCCATCCCCAAGAAACAAATAATTGTGCATTCCTATCAATACATTCTTGATGCTCTATAAGACACTTGTCCGACCTCACATGCATGAGATGAAATTCCAAATATATCATCACCATATTTTATTTCTGCATGCATAACAAAACATGACAAGTTGTTATAATTTAATTTTAAGACGAAATTGGTACCGAAGACAAAACCTTAAAAGTAATACGGCACCAATAAGTTACCATCTTGGACTGATTGTGGAGGCGTACCTAGTTGTTAAAACATGCAGGCCTTTTGGCATTGTAGTAAATATGTGCAATCATCTGAACCAGCTCATCTCCTGTTCGCATCTCTGTATGTCATTTAATATTTGTGTTAAGAAATTTAGATTTAAAAAATAAGACTACGAACTGAGATCTTCTATGACATTTTTCTTGTGATGTTGTTATGCCTTCATCCGATTGATTGAAAAACCATAATAATCAATGTTGACTTTTATTGCAATTCGTTAGCCAATAGACATCAACCAAAAAAATTAGACATCGACCAATATTTAAATACAAATAGGATGGGGGAAAGTGGGACAAAAGATTTTAAATTTGAAGACTAGTGTAACCTAACTATTAAGTAGATCTTGATGTACTACCTTTTTCCCGGTGTACAATCTTGTTTCCTCGCAAAAACAATATTTGGGGGCATTCTTTAACATCTAGAGCATAGGCCAAGTCCCTTTCAATATTGATGTCTATCTTGACTGTCTGCTCGGTAATAAAAAAAACAAAATGATGGTTAATAACAGATGACAGACCACTAGGGCAGTTTGGTAAGAGTTAGTTACTTTGGCCGAATGACTGAATATGCTGGACTTTCTGAAAAGTAAAGCATTTGGTTACAAACCCGAGGAGGCAATCGATCCTTGGCCATCCAGTACACCTTAGCAGCTTTCTCTAGTTCCTTGAGAGCTATCCAGTTCTTACTGGCACTGTTGTTAAAGAATGAATAAGAAAAACTTTTCTGGCAAAATAAAAAATCACTGTCAACAAAATTTGATAGGAGTTTGATTATACTGCCTTTTGTATCTCTCAAAAACAAGAACAATCAGAGGGCTAGGATGAAAAGCAAAACTTTCCCACTCAAGACAATTGATTTCTTTCACCAAGCAATCATCAAGTTCTCCTTCCCAATTAATCTCAGCACCATCTTCCCCAACAATGTTTCTTATCGGATGTCTCTCAAAATATTCTGATGCTCGAACTCCCCAACCCACATCTGCATCCAGAGGCCAATCTGGGTCCTCTTCCTCAACCACCATCTCCTTTTCTTTCGTTTCGCCATCAGCGCCTTCCTCGTCACTGTCACCACTACTACAATCGACGTCATGAATTTCAGCCATGCGGTCTTTCAAGATGTTTCCTTTGCCTTTCATGATATCTGGATTTTTCTCCCTTATAGTTGCAAAGGTACGTTCAAGAGAATCCCGCACGAAATCCACAACTGCAGCTGATTCACTCCTACGACCACGTCTGGGCTTCTTAGGAATTGTAGTGGGATTTTTTTTACTAGATTCTATACCTAAACCTTCTAAGGCTTTGGATTTCTTCATTTTCCTAGTCCTAGGAGGGACTTTTTGTTGAGCATTCGTGTCCATATTATCAGGTTCACTTGAGGTAGCGAAACATCCAACATGTTTAAGGCCTTGGATTTGTTTGATAGCAGAGAAAGAGTTGAAATTACACTGATGTTTCTCTTTAAGACAAAGAGATGGACAAGGATATAGGTAAGGCTTCATGTTTGATGCAGAAAGAAACATCTTTTCGCCACCGGAATACCCCCAAAGAGCACTCACAGTAACATTTAGAGCTCGTCGAGAATCTGGGAGATTTCAAAACAAAAACTTGGTATGAATTAGCATTAACACCAATTAAGTAATTTATAAATTAAAGTCAACTAAATTACTGACTGCATGGCTGCAGGCAATATATAACAGCTCATGTCACGGAAGCTTAGTCATTATAATTAAAAGTTAGATAAAGGTGTAAATAGCTTACTGTAGTGGACTATATATCCTTAATAACCATTTTGAACATATATTCCCATGTGTGACTATTTCTTGCAGATGTTAACTTGCTTCTCAAGATGTATTTCACATCTGAAAAGTAGGTTAACCATCGCCATTCCTAAGATATATTGGAAGGGGATTTTTTATTAATAACAACAACAACATTACCCCAGTGCTGCAAAGGCACCTGCGGTGGGGTAAGGGGGGCGGATGTACGCAGTCCTACCCTTGTACTAAAGCATAGTGAAACTATTTCCGGATGACCCATGATGAAAATCACGCCGAAAATTGTTTGGACCGATTGTTGCTTCATAATAAAGAAGCGCAGAGAGTTTAGTGAACCATTTTCTTTATTCCATCATATTTTCAAGCCAAAAAATAGTGAGTCTTAGGCTCCATTGCAAATGATGGACCAGAATTTCGATTAACAGATTCATATTATTCCTTTTGTTAAGCAAGCGTCAGCTTTGGGCATATTTCCACTGAGAAGAAAAGGGAAGGGGTTACTGGTTCATATAATATGTGCCGCCTTACCAGAATGTTAGTCTGAGCAGTCTCAATACTTTATAATACTTCAGAATGAAAATTTCAAATCAGCTATAATAATACTAAATTGATTATACTTTAACTATAAAAATCATCTTAGCATCACTGATAACATCTCAAGTGCATTAATCGGTTGATTTTCACTTTTTAATGTACTCTAATACGCATTATACTTTAATTGGAGTAAGTTTAGCAATTCAACAGTTTCTGAAATCATCCAATATAAAGTTTAATACTCCGTAATTCTCAGTGATTCAGCGAAGCAAACAGACAAGAAAATCAACGAAGCAAGTAGCGAGTCAATAAATTTCTACAATAATTCTTTAGATTGCTGAAAATGTAATAGATCTTGAAGATTAAAGTTACCTGGGGAAAAAGAACGAGCAATTGATCGAAAATATTAAGAAAATTCTGCTAGTGGATAACAACGACGGAATGATCGAGCGAGAGGAAACAGTCTCCGCAATCGAGCGAAAGTAGAGCTTAGCGATCGAGCCTCTTGTTGTGTTCCTCTCTCTATCTTCCCGACCAGTTTCCCTCAGTGTGGTGTCTAATCTTCATTCCCTCACCCCTCCTCTCGCCGATAATATAACTGGGAAACGCCATTTTGAGGGAGAACCAGGAGGCTGTAGTGCTTCACCAGGGTAGTAAACGAATCTAGAGAGTGTTTGCAAACGAATCTAGAGAGGGTATCAGGGAAAACAAGAAGCGTGTGAATAGTGTTTTTTCTCTTTTCTATTCCACAAAAATCACTTATTTTATCAAACACTACCAACTTTTACTTATCAAAATCACTTTTTTCTCAAACACTATCAACTTTTACTACTAATCACTTTTCCTTACATCTTCAAAATTGCTTTTTTTAAGCAGAAGCAGTTGCAAACACTCCCCTAATCAAGTGAAATAATAGCCTTATTTTGTACGAAGTATTTGTGTTCAATTTTTTGAATTCGAATATGAGATGAATATTAATTTCGATTTGTATTCCTATTTGTTTAACTATATGAATAATTAATTAATCATATATGAATATCGAATCGATATGATCATAAGTTAAATATTAGTTAAATATCATTTTAAAACAATTTTTCATATATTTCTTATTTTATAAATGCATGTTATGACTTAATATGTGTTTTTAGAATTTAATTTATAACATTTTATTTTTCTTAAAAATTTAATGGATTGATGCATTTTTAGATTGTGCACAATATATATTAATGTGAACTGATGTTATGATTACTATACATAAATATATTTCCAAGTTTTTTGAAATAAATACTACTCCGTAACACACACATTTTAGAAAGGGGTAATTTGAGTTAGCACCCCATTTTATTGTTTAAATTGGACTTTGCACCTCATTTTTAAAAAACTTTGTTTTTGTACCACAACCTCATATGAAAAGACAAAGATGCCCTCAATAAGGAATATTTTGAAGGTCAACAAAATTGTTAATGGAAGCAGGGACGGAGCCAGGATTTTATTGGAGGAGGGCCAAAATATACTACATAAAACAAACTATCAAATGTACCGTATAAATACAGAAACGCATTGTATTAAAATTTATTGCGTAGTTGATTATATTTTGTAAGATTTTGTAGGACGATTAAAAACCTCAAAACATTATAATGACATGTTCAATTTTTCAAAATCTTTCTTTTATAAGATGGATAATTCTATCTACTTAATTAAAAGGAATTGAAATAAAGTAATAAATTTAAACTTATACTCCATATATATTATTCATATGTAATAGTGTAATACGTGGTATATATTTCATCACTTTAATGTAATATATACATTAAAGGGGATTATGTGAACACTATTACTAAAATTATAGAAAAGAATGAAAAGTAGAGAGGGGCAAAGCCCCCCCCCCCCCCCCCCCCCCACACTATGCATACCTCCGTCCCTGAATGGAAGGACATTTTTGTGTTTTCATATGGGTTAAGGTGCAAAAACAAAGTTTTTTAAAAAACGGAGTGCAAAATCCAATATGAATGATAAAATGGGGTGCAACCTCAAATTTTCTTTGTAAAAAATTATACCTTTAATGTGTGAAATAAGTTGATAATTGTATATATCAAAGTCAAACACCTCTAGTTTTTTATGTTACATATATAGCATTGTTGATAATAAAAAACATCATTAGATATATGGGAGTAGTTTATACTACACACATAGTGCTTAGTTGATGCGCACATACATAGTAGATAATTGATTTTGTTTAGGTATAAACAAAAATATATTTGATTATTCTTTAAATCAAATAAATAATTATTTGTATTTGAAAAATGTTTGAGCCAATAATCTGGTTTGTATTCGTATTTATATTTTATATTTTCAAATTGAAACCATAATTTAGGAATTCAAATCACGAATCGAATAACAATTAATTATTTGTTTCGTTTACAACTTTTACTCTTAATGATACTTTTGATTTATTACAAATTGACTTGGAATGTGTACACGTAAATGTATATATGGGCTACACTTTGAGGCTATAACTAGTTTTTCAAAGTTACTATAGTGTTATTACTATTACTACTTGCTACTACTACTAACTATTGCTACTACTATTATTATTAACTCTATTATTAATGGAATATATTTGATTTACATTTGAATTGAATATACTAATATCCGTATTTGTATTTTATAACAATTCGAATCAATTTAATATTCTTATTTGTATTTGTATTTGAATTTTTCGAATTCGAATCGTCTTATACGAATTTGAATTCGAATCGAGTACAAATTATTTGATTCATATACAACTCTAGCCCTGTAAAGCAGTTGCTCGAAGATGAGGAATAGAGGAGAGCTACGATGGTTTATTTTCATTTGACCGGCCTAATTAAACCAGGTCATGGAACGAAACAATTGGAGTTCAAATTGGTGGCATGCTGAAATTTATAATTGATCTTATTTCAATTGATGATAGATTTTTTCTTGATTTTAAGTTTTGAAATAAATAATACGAAGTCTATCAGAAAACATTATGTAAGTTATAACGACAGCTACACATAACTAATAACGACAACTTTTCACTACGTCGTTAAAGAGAAAATTTAATAACGATAAACTTATTCGTCAATGTTAAAAACAACTTTTAACAACTTTTTAAAGTCGGCGTTGTATGGTGGTCGTTAAAACCTTGTTTTTAATATAGTATCAGTATTGTACAATAATTTTTTTTAACAAAAAAACATGTTAATATGATTTTCATATTATCAATATTATCGTGTATAAATATACAAGTGGTCAAAGTTGAACAACTTTGACCTGAAAAATAGTGTTTATCTAAATAAAAAGGGAGGGAGGGAGGGAGTAGTTAATCAAAGTATTTCTATTACTTATTATATACAGGGAGTTGTACATTTTACAAACCAGGTCAATGTGTCTACTTCTTTTGATGATGCCAAATTGATCATTACTGAGAATCAAATTGATTTAGAAAATAGTAAGAATTTTGTATAAACATTAATTTAAATGTATTGTGTTTATAAATATTTAAGAGTCCGTTTGGTAACACTAAAATTGGTGGAATTGACTTAATTTGCTGAAACTCATGAAATCTTAGTTGAAGTGACTAAGTCTGCTAAATTAAGGAAAATTATAAAAAAAACAATTAAGAAAAGTTTATATATGAAATGTGTTAAAATGATCCTTTGCAGCAACTTCAGTTATTTCAGTCATAAAAGTAACTCTAATCTTACTTATTTTGACTATTACACGGCTAAAGGCGGGAAATAAATGATTTGTCTTTGAATAAAAGAAAACATATATATTTTGAATCTTTGCATTTGAAATTCAATACAAGAAATTGATTTGATGAACACTTGAGTTTTCACTAGCCCGATAAATCACATGTATATTTTTGAAGACAATGCAACAATAATTGACGTTGTACAACGTGAATTACTTAATAAAATCATGTTTTTGGCACGGACGAAAGCAAATGGACTCTATCTAAAGACTAAGTTTTAACATATGTTGAATTTCCGCAAATGTTTGTTGGAAGATATCGATAAAAGAGTTTCACTTTGAAAAGAGGCTTTGTTTTATATTGTCTAACATTTGTCCCTCGGGATATGGAGAATCTTATTGTTTACGTTGTCTACTCAATCCGAAATGTGGTGCTACGTCTTACAATGACCTTCTAGTTGTGGACGATATTTGTCGTAATTCACATCGTAAGGTAATAGGTATGTTATCCTTTGAGATAACTAGACAATGACCGAGAATACATTGGAAGTTTTCTGAAGGTAGTTATTGGGATTCTGTACTGGCATTGAGGATGATGGATAGTCTACCCGGGGGGTATCTTATCCGAGGGGTTATTACGGGAATAACTTAGAGAGAAGTCAGAGCAAATAGGAGGAGAGAGAGTCGATTTTATTAAATGAACTCGAGATGTGGAGTTGAGATGTAGATTATTATTTACAAGGAGAAATGGGCTGCTATTTATAGCAGCAATAAATGCGATGAGAGGACACGTGTCAGTAATCCAACGGCCGAAGGGTCACATCAACCGGTTGGCACCGGCAGTGGTACGTTCACCGCATTAAATGCGGTTGGCGGATGCGACGTGGCTTTAAATGCGGTGGTTGGCTGTCTCCAAAAGGAATCTTCGATGATTGAGAGTGTTTGGCCGAAGGCACCTTTTATCGCCGAGGGCTCCATGTAGCCAAGGATCCCTGTGTAGCCGAGGGCCCTATGTGACCGGAGGCATGGTTTAGCCGGTGGCTTCTCTGATGCCGAGGGCATGGTTTAGCCGAAGGCTCACATTTTTCGCCGTTTTCTCCCAGTAGCCTCTTATGCCAGAGAAGGCTACCCTGTGAGATTTAGAGCCTTCGGCCAAGGAGGCCGAAGGCACTGCAGTGCGTATTCTGGGCTATGTTGGGGCTTGGGCCGTTGCTTTTGGGCCTGAGTTGTTCTCTGGGCTCAACGGACTTGTGTAGGAGAAGTAGGAGTCTATGGGCCGGGGGTTCCTGGGCCATATACTCCATCAGGAGTCCCTCACTCCTTTTGCCGAAAGGTACTTGAGGGAAAAGGAGTAGATGCGTTGATTCTTCTGGGGGCTTCATCATTTAGTTGGGTGCCTTTGTTTGAGAACTTGCCTTCTGCTGATTGCCGAAGGCTTCCCTCAGTCCCTCACATGTCGAGGGTTTTCTGAGGGAAGTATAACATCTTGTATGACTGTCGAAGGCTCTCCTCAGTCCCCCACATGTCGAGGGTTTTCTGAGGAAGAGTATAGATGTGTTGCCCGTATGTGTTGTTATGAAAGGCTGCTTTATTTCCGTGAGTGTCTTGGGAAATTTTTTGATGTACTGCTGCTGCCGAAGGGTATATCGAAGTATGTACCCGAGGGGTTTCCCTTTGATGTTTTGCCCGGGGGCTATATGCGTCAATCGTGGATTATCGCTTGAGGAATTTTTGTTCTGTGTGATTCCCGAGGGGTGTATCCTAGTCCCCCACTCCTTTTGGCCGAAGGCAAGTTCGGGATGAAGGAGTTATGACGTGTTGGTGCAAACCCGAGGGGTGACAATATTGACAAGCCGGGGGCTCATGCTGCCGCAGGCTCGAAGGCGTTTGGTGGAATCCGTTGTCTGAGGGCTGCGGAGAGTGATAACCGGAGGCTATCATTCGAGGGCACCCCAGTGTTGCCGAAGTATAGTCGTCGCAATATAGCCGTTGGAAGGGGAGTTGACGTGGCGTGTAGTCG